GCAAGCTGAAGAGGTTAAATACGAGAGCAAACTCCCTTGGAGAAAAGGAGACTCGTACAGATTTAAATTAACTTGGCCCTTCCCCTGCCCAGAGATGATGGGCCGAGGGGAGATGGACCTCCCAGACTGCTCCTCTGTGGGGTGTGTGGCTGGGGGGCTGTGCTGAGGTGTCACCGTGGGACTGGCTAGGGAGGCAGGGAGCAGATGTGCCCTGGTGCTGGGTTCTTGGCAGAGGGAGCAGGTGGGGTTCGTACTCTACCAGCCTCTGAGCAGCACCAGCTTGTCCTGCTCTGCTCTTGGAAAGGACAGATGGGCTCCTCCTCCTCTCTCCTGCGGTTACAGCTGTGCAGCTGCATTGGTGATGTGCGAGTTATTCTGATCTGCTTGTGGGTCACAAATCTCCTCTGAACAGGTCACTGACAGTAGCAGCCATAGTGGGCTTCTGTGTTCAGTCTTCTGTGCTCTGAATTCACCCAACTTGCAGTAAAGGTGGACAGAGAGGAAAGGCAGCTTCAGTTTCCAGCTCTGGCTCCCTCCTCCCTTTCTTGAGCCTCCTCGGTGGGGTGTGCTCTGCACGCCCCAGCCCTTAGCACTGTAGGAAGGAGATGGTGATCAGGGATGCTGCTCATGTGCTTGGAATTTTCCTCATTTCCAGCTTTGATTGGTGTATTGTGTTTTTTGGTGGGCCCTTCGGTGAGTCTGGTCATTGGGGATAGCTGGATAACACACCCACGCTGACCGCATCGTAGGGGCGCATCCACGACGATGAGTGTGTTTCTCCATTGGGGACCTTCTTGCTTTGGTTATTTCTGGCCAGTGACATTTTCCTTCTTCTCCAAATGCACTGAATTGTGCAATCACACCGTGGCCACATCAGCTCGGACCCTTTTCCTAAGAACCTCTTCATTTCTTTTCTAATTTGGCTGTAGGCTATTGTCAGTTATACAACAGTATGACACAGTGTGTGACTGTTGCATTCTCCTGCATTGACTCATCAGCTGAGATTCCAGAGCAGTAACCCCCCTGCTGCGAGCTGGAGCAGCCCTCCTCCTTGACTCGGTAATCAGGGATGTGAAAGCTCCCACGTGGATCTCATGGACAGGTTATGCAGGTGTGGGTCAAAATGCCCCAATAAACCTGTCCCTGAGAGCTGGCCCTGTTACAGCAGGTGACTCCCCGAGCACACTGGTGCTGGCACAGGTACACCAGCAAAGCCTGAAGGTGATGGTGAAAAGAAAGAGCCCGTGGCAGTGAGAAGGGGGTTTGGGATGGGGTGCAGCTGAGCCATGTACACGCTCTGTGTTGCTGGAGCTCAAAAACTTGATCTTATCACTGCATCCATCCAGAAAAACAGAGGTGTCACCTGGGCTAAGGCCTGCTCTTGTGTTGTTTAGTAAATACCCTGAATTTATGTGGATCCCGTGTTTCCAATGCCTTCTGCCTCCTCCCGTGTGTCCTATCCAGCTTCTTCAGAGAAGGTAACTTATTCAGAAGCTCACAAAGCAATTAATCCTGCTCCTTGTCCTTCTGCTCCTGTGCTTTTGACTGGAGGCTCAGGAGGTGCTCTTGCATGGAAGGCTCCCTGCATCTTTTAGGCAGATTACTGAAGAGGGGTTTGTGAGAGGAACTGAGTGTTCCCCGACGAGACTGCAGCCTTCACAAACCTTTCTAGATGGGAAACATCTGCTTGCTGAGGATGAGTGTGCTGAAGGGGAGCTTCGGTAGGGCTCATCTGCAGGAAGACTTAGACCAGTCTGGATTTCCTTCAGCCCACAATGGGACATCTTCTCGTGCAGGCACTGGGAGTCAGCTCCAGCTAACCAGTTGTATTTCTGATCCCCAGCCATTCTGCTTTTGCTAATTGCTTGTTAATAAACAAGAAGCGAGCAGAGTCTTGCATAGCCCTTTGCAGAAGAAACGCTCACCTCTCTGGCCAGGTAGATTCTTGCTTGTTGGGCATCCCCACAGCTGCTCCAGGTGTTTCTGTAACACTGGTACCTGCATCGAGGTGTTTTCACTCCTCTGGTGCCCCACTGGGCTGTGAGGGGATGGCAGCTGAGCAGGGGCTCCCATGGTGCCAGTTGCCTTCTCAGCTCTGGTTATTCTACAGAGTGCTGAAGGCATCCAGCTTTAGTGTCTCAGTGGTGATAGGGGAAGGGGGGAAGCCAATAAACCCCAGACAACCTGTCCTCGGGAGTTTTCTCCTTTGTTTTAAAATGTTGAACATCTGCACTCAAAAGGCAGATGTATTTTGGCAGCAGCCATTGATTGAGGTGTCATTCATCAGGTGGGGCTGCAGCCCTGCTGTGGAGCAGCGTTTCTGCTGGAAGACACCTCCCGGGGGTCCTCTGGAGAGGAAGAAATGTTTATTGACAGCTGACCCCAGGTCCCCAGGTACTGGGTCCCTCCCAGCTCACGGAGCGTGTCCTGCTCTGGGAGGGAGGCTGGGATTGATTGCCGAGGGGGCAGCATTTTTTTCAAGTCTGTGGTGAATTGATGGTCGGTGGAGCAGTAATGAAGATAAATGAGGGAGCTCTTGCCGGCAGATTAGGCCGTGTGCTGAGGGACGCGGTGCTGCGGCAGGTTTGAAATGCCTTTGGCCTGGCTCAGACCTCCCGCTCACCTGCCAGCATTCCTCAGCACAGCTGAGACGGAGCAAATCTTTGGGGAAATTGCCTCTCCTTGAAATTCAGAGGGTTTCAAAGGGCCTGGGGTGAGACCCGGGAGCCTCCCAGGTCAACACCAGCTGGAGTGCAAGTTCTGCAAGAGCAGCGAGGGCAGAAGGTGCTGCTCAGCCCTCTCGTGCTCTCAGTACGGGATTCAAAAGGGAGATGGTTTGATTCTACAAGAAACGGGTGAGGCAGCAGGGTGGTGGGTTCCTGTAACTTTGGTAAGAGCTCTGTTAAAACGTCACCTTTTTGCTTGTCTGTGGCTCTGCAGCAGCTCTGCTGAAGGTCCTTTTTCTGCACGAGCAGTCTCAGTGGTCTGGCGTGGAGGAAGGTGCTGTAACCTGGCCCATGGCAGACTCTTTAAATTCTTTGAGCAGTTCCCATCAAAGCAGTTTTCAAAGTGGTTTCCTCTCACCACTTAAACCAGTATTTCCCAGGGCCATTGGGTAAAATCCCCGTTCAGAGATGCTCATGCAGTAGTCGATGGGTAGTTTAGGACCAGAATAATCTTTGCCTTATTCCCATCCTGCTGCTTCGACCTTCCTCCAGCCACTGCCGTCGTGCCCAGCTCAGCTCCCTCTGCCCACACATCCCACTGCTGCCAGGAGGAAACCCTGACCCTGGGAGAGCTGCAGCAGCAGCCGTGCGAGAGCAGACCCCGGTCACAGGTACTGAGAGGCGAATGTTACTGTTGATTTGTCCTTTCCCCTTGTCCTCCTGAGTTTGTAACTTTCCTGAAAACTTGCTCTGAGCGTGTGAAAGATCCTTACCAGCCCATCAGCACCGTGATGGGCAACAGTAGGAAAATGACCAACACTTTTCCTGGGTCTGGGGGAGCATCCCCTGCCCTGGGCAAGGGGCAGCTGAGCCAGGGAGGGAAGTGCAGAAGCACCTGCACGAGCCTCGGCGCACGCTCAGGAATTAATTGCAGTGATTAAGGTAAATCTTTTTTTACCTGGATCAATTAGTTTGCAGGTTCGACTGTCTTACCTGTCCCTTAAATTTGTTTGTGTGGGTGGGACCTTTGGACCAGACTCTATAAAATACCTGTACGCTAATGGAAGCGTCTTTAGAATCACTGCTTGCCCAAGCTGGGGGAAAAAAGAATTGAGGAAATTCCTGGAGATGAGTCATGGATCTCTAAGGTATCTGCTGGCAGGTCTGCAGCCGCCTGCCCCTCCCCTCATCAGTTTCAATTTTAGTTGACAGTTTAAGGTTTGTTTGTTGGGTTTTTTTGTTTGTTTGTTTGGGGTTTTTTGTTTATTTTTACAGGAAAGGTTTGGAAGCTAATGTAGCCTCTCCTGCTTGACCCAGTGCTCTGTCATTCGATGTCCTGGAGCTTGCTGCTCCTGTCCCTGGGGGCTTTGCAGGCTGGTGCTGGGGCTCTGCTTTGTGGGAAACAACAGGCATCATCTCCTGGGGAGATCTGGGCTTCAGGAGGGCAGGAGCTGTGGGCAAACAGGCAGAAGAAACGCTGGGGGCTGCCTCCTGCTCTGGGGAAATGCCCAACGGGGTGTGTGGGAATTCAAAAAGCAAAGAACATCATTTTCTGATATAGGTTTATAATGAATTTTGACTTAAAATAATAAGCAGTATACACAACATACAAGTGAGTTTTACAGAGACGACGCATCTGTTGACTTCGGAACCTACCAGTAAGTTCACAGATTGTGTTTGCTTTCTCTAGCCCTCTGTGTCTGCCAGCCTCTGGGGTGGCCCTTGTCTCTGGGCAGTCACTCGGGTTTCAGTCCCAATTTACGGCTCCGCTTGTCCCCAGCGCTGGGGAGAAGCCTCGTGCAGAGGTTGCTCTTGCTCAGCGGGGTCAGCAGCGCGGCCGGGTCTGCTCGAGGGAAACGCGGGGATGACGGGAATGTCTTAGGGCTGCACAACACCCTTCCTGGGCCTTGTGAAAAAGCCAAAGCAGGAGTGCTTTCTGCAGGACTGGGTTATTCTCAACTAGTGTTTTTCGCTGGCGAAACTTGACTGCAGCGTGAGTTCTCTGGGGAGGTGCAGGTTTCCTCAGCCATCGCATCCCGACGGTCGCTCCTCCAGGTCCCTCTGCGCAGAGAACAAGGGCCCCGGCAGTTTCACAGTTTAAGCGGGATCACAGACTCCTCCTGGGTAAGGGATTAGTTTTGCTGAGCAAACCGAAGGGTCCACAGGACCTCCTGGGAAATGTAGTCCTTCCTTTAGTGCTTTGCAGAATCCATTAAATAAAAGCCATGCAGTTGAACTACAGCTCCCAGAACGTCATGGCCCTTGGGGCAGAGGGTTTGAAAAAAATTGCAAGGGGGGGTGGCAGTGGGTTCTTCCCTCTGTGCTCCCGTCTCCTCAGGTCTGGTCCAACCACTCGGCCCGTTTTGGTGCTTTACAGGTGTGCACGTCCACAGTGTCCTCACACTCCTTGCAGCGCACAGCGCAGCACCAGTGGAACTTGCACTCGCACTTGGTGACGCGGATGACGCGCGTGGTGTCGTACCCCCGCCCGCAGCACATCACCTCGCAGCCGTCCGTCCCGCGGGACATCTTGTTGCACACGCGTCCGGCTGTGCCCAGGGAGCCTGAGGAAGGAAGTGAGAGCGGGTCAGGGTGTTCCTGCTCCACCTTCAAGTGCCTCCTCCAGCCCCTGCCCTGCGGTTGTTAGCAGTGGGTAAGACTGGGCGTTACCATCCACAACGGAGACCTCGGATACACCGGCCTTGGCAGGAGATCTTGGATGCACCAGCCTTGACAAGGGTGGGACTGTGATGCTGGTGCCACAGCGTGGCCCCCAAGGGCTGGGCATGGGCTGCAGGCAAGAGGTTGCGGAGCCTGCGCTCACTTTGGTTGGGGTAGGGGTTGCAGTGAGGGCAACGAGCCTGGCCAGGGACACAGATTTGGTGACTCCACACAGCCCCTTCCCCACACCCGTGGCTGCCCAGGGAGAGAGAGCAGAGGGACCAGAAATCA